AAAAAAAAAAAAAGAAAAAAAATTCATAAAAACAGATTCATTCTTTTTACACGAAATATACAAGTTCGAAGGAGAATGTTTCTAAAAAAGATGGAAAGGATCTGTTAATTTCGGTCACTGCTTGTTTTTGAGACTCTGTCGAAACGTTGCGATCGATTTAAGTTACGTTACGCGGAAAACATCTCCATCGAAGAATCTCTTGAAACTCTGGCGATCGATTACGTTTCAATGGAAAACAGGAAGTCCGGGTAACAAACAAACCACCAGGTACGATTTAGCACGAATTAGCCGTAGAGTAGTCCTGGCCGGATAGAATCAAACTTTTGTCTCTTTTATTGGCGTTCGATCGCACGTTGTTGAATTTCCACCGGAAGAAAGCGATTTCACCGGCGAGAAAATTGTCCAATCTCGGTCGAGGCTTCTGCCTTCCGTCGCGCTCTCGACCAATCTTTCGGCCGGTACGCTCGAGCGAGTTCGAAAGTCGTCGTCGTCGTCGTCGTCGGCTGAAACAACGTGTTACGAACGCTCGCGAAGGGGGAAAGTCGATCGTCTCTCCTCTCCTCTCCGGTGTTTCGTCGAATGAAAATTCGCCGGGGCTGCCACGAAACGATCCAGCGTGTCGGAATTTAATTAGAAACGTCGACATCCGGTTAGTTAGACGAGAGGGAGTCGGGCACGTTTGCCTGACAACTGCGACTCGCCGTCGTCGAACGTAAATGCAAGCAGTTCGATTTTTCTCTGCTCTGGTTCTCTGGAGTTTCGCTTCGAATTACACGGACAGACGGAAGACGGTCTTTGCGACGTGTAAGAGAATTAAAGTCGTCGTACATTTCGCGCGAGATTGCGGCGATGATTTTTTTTTTTGAAATTTACCTACAATCTTTCTTTATTACCTGACGATTTGTTCGATTTACCCTGGTTTAGTGTTTTCGCGTAAATGTCCAACACTTTCAAACGAGACTGTACATAGCGTCGCGACACGCATAAGGTTTCCCACTTTTTCTTTTTTTCTCTTTTTTCTTTTTTCGCGCGGTTTCCATCCATCGACGAAGAGTATCGACAACAGGATAGCGTGCCGTCATTATCACGAGTCGATCCCTCGAAGCCTATCGGCGTTAATAACGAGCCGGACGTTTAATGCATATTTTGCCATGCTAATTACACATTTGACACGTTGCTCGATTGTTACGCACACACACACACACACACACACACACACACACACATACGCGTGCAGCCTGGCGCATATAGCGCACGGAATGGTAGGTAGTATAGGCTTGGCAAACGGGGGGATCTCGACATCGGTCATGAAGATAATTTCAATCATTCAGCCAACATTGGGATTATGCGGCGAACCCATCAGCCAGTGGTCAAACCTGACTGACTGGCAGTCCGCTGCATGTCGCGTTTCATATCGATACTTAGGCTGCACTGGCTGCATAATCTCCGGCTAACCGTGGTGATTCGACGCCCTATGGCTTGGATTACGGCTGACAATAATGGCACCCGATTGTCATGAAATCAATAAGCGAACGCTTGTTGTCCGCCCGTTCCCCGATAGTTTCCACACTATCTCTCCGTTACCAGAAGAATCGTTAAGGCCCGATTCCGGGTGGCTCGAGGAAGAGTCAGTCGAGATCAAGGATACTTCGATGGTAGGTAATGCGGCCATTTATATGCGGCGAATAATCCGGTTGGAATTCGTAAAAATTGTAACGATCGCGATAGATGGGACGATGGAACGCGCGCGGCGATAAATCGCAATGAAAATGATTTTCGGTTACCAGCCAATCCATTTCACGTAAAAATGTGTAGGATAATGGTCGAGAAAGAGAGAGAAAGTAAGATGATCCTTATGATCGATCGATCTTTATCGTGCGTTATCGCGTGCAAATAAGAATTGCGATCCCCAACGGCAACGTCTTGAAGTAATCTCGCGCCTTTTTTCCTTCCTCGTCGCTTCAACTTATCCGCTTCGGTCGCCGCGTTCCTCCGCGCTCTCGTTTAACATGCATGGGAATTTCCACGATGAATGTTGATATTCAAAACAGGGCGACGCGTTTGTTCTTTCGTTTTCTGGCGATAAGCCACGGTAGCTGGGCTAGACTCGGTGGTTCCCTGGTTCCGAGATTAAAGCCGTTGCGTGAAGCATGACGAATTGAAAGCCTTGGCCACAATCTGTCTCAGCTTTTGCCGGGTCAGAACGTTGCTGCGAGTCGCGTGGCACCGCTACGTTCGTTCAACGACGTCGAATAATTTGAGCGAATCAGCGGCACGTGATTATGCTTCTGCGTTTAACGAACTGCACGTGTTAGGATAAGAATGATTAATTCTTTCGACTCTTTCTCTTTAGCCCCTTTGACTCAATAGCAGACTTCGATACGTACCGCGTTCGTCAGTGTGCATTTCGTAGAAAGTATATCGAAATAATCATATTGAATATAATCAAAAGTATATCGAAAATAAATAGTATATTGAATAATCATTACACCGGTATTATTTATTTATTCGTATTTTGTATTGTATTGTTACTGCACATACTAAAGATTTAAAAACAGTAAGCTTTATTTCATAGTGCTATCTAAAGTGTAGTACAATTCGAAGCATGGGTCAATACATAGTTCTACGTCACATTTTCTTACATTCGTAATGCGTCTCTCTTCTTTAGTTATGTTTTCTACGCACCATACATTTGTGCCTTTTTCTGATTAATTTATTACCACGCTTTTTTGCTCTAAGGTTTAGTTTAGTTAAATGAAGTAATCATATATAAATAATATATGACTAACGGAATATTTTATTATTACTGATTTTATTATTATTATTGAATTAGAATTCAGTTAGGTCTGATCCAATATTTTTTTTTTTTTGTTGCAATTATTGTCGACAAGATTTGCCAGACGCCTATAATCGCTAAGGGGTTAATGTTTATTGGATCAAGACCCAGAAGCAGCCGCGTAGGTCAAGAGAGTCGCTGACCCTCTATCGATCGTTCTATCGATGCTTCAATTTCACCCTGTTTCTAGATGACCTACGGCGGAGCAATTAAACGGCCCTGTACTTTCAATGTGATTGGCCAGATCGAACGAGCCTGTGTTCCAACAACACAACCTGGCGGGCGGTCTGATTGAGCGTTAGAATCATCAAAATGAGTTTCACCAGGTGAACTTGGATACATAGAATCTCTAGAAATTGCGCCAAGTAGTCATGAATCGAGTAAAGAAGCTGGATCAGATAGATTAAGGGAATGAAATTGATCGCAAGACTAGTCTATATAGAAAGTCCAAATAAAAAAAATAAATTTCATTTCGTCGAGTTCAAGAAATGACGACGAAAGCGAAGATTTTTACCAGAATGGTTGAAGTGAAGCCATCAGTGAAGCCAACAGACCTTCGAATTTTGCTGGTGAGTGCAATTAACTGTCCGAACGAATCAATTAACGTTCATTCACGCCGGCAGGTTGGAAACCTGCACCGACCAAAGTACAGGAATGGCAGGCTCTCGCAAATTCAGCTGCTCGTATTTCGAGCCGACACCGATGTGTTCCGCGCGACCAGGATTGATCTAAACGCAGCCGCGGCATTGCACGCGGTGGAAGGAACGGCCACCGCGTGGCCACCCGGGATAAATCCCGGTTCTCGCCCGATTCTCGGAACAGTCGCGACGACACCAAGCCGCTTACCGGCTCTGCGACAAACGTGAACTTAACGGAGTCTTACCACGTCCCGGAAATTGCCCCCCAGCGGCTGTGGTCGGCCAGGGAACGAGCAACGCTCCAGCTCCGGGCGAGTCGTAATTGTAGCCGTGCCGTGCGCCAGATAACGCACCACCGAACAAACACACACCCCTCTCTCCATCTACACTTTTCTCACGGCGAGCCTCCCTTCACGCGGCTCGATTACAACGCTTTATAACGCTGTTCACGCGGTACTTTCTTTTTTTATACGCCGCCAGAAAATTTATACGCGCGGTTGTATTGACACTGATCCGAACTGAAATTTCAACGAGATTGAAAGAAATATTGCGGTGAATTTCAACGAATTTTGTACGAAAACTTGGCAAAGGATAAGCTTGAAAACGAATCATTCGAAAACAAATTAACGATGACAATGAAGTCGAATTTACGCGGAGGGAAAGTAAGCGGTTGCAGACACTGATCCAAGCGTTCAACGAGCATTGAAATTTCAACGAGATTCAAAGAAATATTGCGGTGAATGTCAGCGAATTTGATATGAAAACTTGGCGAACGATAATTCAGATGAGATCATGCGAAAAAATTAACATTAACCATGAAAGTAAGCCTTGAAATTCCAACAAGATTCGAAAGATAAGTTTGGAAAACGAATCATTCGAAAAAATTAACATTAACGATGAAAGTAAAGTCGAACCTCCAAATATTTTAAGTGACGAGGATAATGAGTTTTTGTTGAAAAAAGAAAAGATTGATTGCTTTGAATTACAGTGGTGGTAGTGACATCGAATAAAATCTACTTTTGTTTTCTGAAA